AACAAAATTGATACAACATATTTTTGTTAAACAGATACATAAACCAACTAGAGAATACAGAATAAGACCAGTTATCCATTGATAGTACATATGCATATTGTGTCCAAGATACCAACAACATATGCATCCAATACTTGTTAAGGTAAAGCAGAGTGGATGGATCAACAAAAATAGAAAAGGATTATCGTGATTACCAATTTTTTCATTGATCTAAAATCAATCATTTATTTATATTATCATCGAAATATTATTGAATAAAGTAGACAAAAGATATAGTTCCAATGGAATATAAAATGAACGATAGTCTCCTTCTTCACAGTTCATTATCTAAGACTTAAATAGTATTTTGATTTTAAGGAAACTTCACTCCCAGCACGAATAGTCCATTTATGATCTTCAGGAGAAATCCTAAGGCTCTGACATTACGAGGGCTACATAATTTGCAGTGGTCGTCTTAAATTAAAGTTGACTTCTGCACGCAACTTTTGTATAAACATTTCGGTGAGTTGGAAGGATCTAAATCAGCCAAAGATGATGATCCCTGTCATATTAAATCCCATTTTTCTCAGTCTAGAAATCTGATCGAGCAAAACTTTACTCTTGTTTAGAGCTTCAAAACAAAAAAAAATATTAACTATATTTCAAACCATGTGGGAGGAATTCCATTTTTTTCCGGTTAAAAATCATGTTTTGAGAAAAACATTAAACAACTTTTGAAATTAGTTTTTTCGTAAAAATTCAGGTATAATATACGGAAAACATCTTATTTACAATGTAATTAGACGAATTATTTTTCGGTGCACATAATAGGTGAAGGCAAACCACACCCATCTCTAGTGTGTGGTTAGTAGAACAAAGAAGTCTAGGAGTTTCTGTCATTAATTCAACAAATCATTCATTGCTTGTATCTATCAGACATCAACGACGAAAGCTTCTCACAAAAATCTGATATCATCTACAGTCTTGACACATTTATTGAAGTTTTCCATCGTTGATTAATATTTAAGATAAAAAATATCAATTTTTTCAAAAACCTGTGCACCATGCACAATTCTTGAAATACGTGTCTAATATCAGAATATAAACAAGTCATCCACATTCTAATTATTAATATATACACTTAGCAATTAATATAAAAGCGTTTGATCCTATGTTGATACAAACGGAAAGATGAAATCCTTTCTAAAACTGAAAAGTTTTTTTGGAACGGAAAAACGTATCGAAAAATATGATAGTAGCGCTCAAAATTTTTACTACAAGCTTCTTCAAATTTGATTATTTTTTCAATAAGCTATATTATATTCTGAAAGAGAAGACTTGGGCGTATCAACTATAATAAAAACTTAATCTCGCGTTTTTTTTTTCGAAAAATCAGCTTTTCTAAGAAGGAGTCCCACTTTAATGAATATTCTAAATTAGATAATCGTTTCAGAACATAATAACTAATAAACCATATTTAGAATTTTACGTTTGACTAATGAATTAATTTTGTATATACTCAGATGATAGTACAGATAAACTCACTGTATCAATGGAAATTAAATGCCACCAATCAGGAAACATCCATGCAATTATTGTAAATATCCAAACAAAAATATAACCGAATAAATAGACAAATGTTCGGTGATGTTTTTTAAAGAATGTCGAACAAACTTGCGTGATTAATAAAACTGCAGATGGATTAAATATGTAAGAAAAATAACTAGTTTTTTGAGGAATATCTGATAATATATAATTCCACATGCAAAGCAAAATATTGAGAAGATGATTGATCAAGATCACAGTTACAATCATTGATAAAAGTGAACGTTGACTTAATATGAAATTACACCAATACCAAAAACATTCCCGTTTTTTTCTTTGATCAATTTTCCCAATAATTTCCTCTGACTAGAACAAAAAAAAAACACGTAAGAATCAAAATTAATTTTTATCGCTTCGATTTTTACTTCTTTTTTGATCCATAGATGAAGACATGAATTAGTCATTTGATATTTATATGTTAATATCATCATTTGTCGAATTTGATCAATAATCAATTCAGATTTTAATGCAAAATATTCTTTTTCCTTATTAGACAAATATTTTAAATTCAATGATATAATTGATAGATATTTAAAACAATTTATTAATTGAACTATAGTATTTAATTGTCCAATTGAGACATGTAATCGTTCGATAGATGGAAAAATATAACAAAGTCGATCAATAGTATATGAATCATCAATAATATGATAATCAGAAATTTTTAATTCACGAATTTGTTTTAATTCTAGATCTTGAATATTATCCAAAAAATTTCTACCAGAATTTTGAAATTCTTCAAAAGTTCTATTTGACATCAACTAAAACAAAATAATTTTACAGTAAAATCATTATTCATTCTATTCATAGAATCTAAAAACTAAAATGTCGACTCAACTTTGATTAAATTACATAAAAAAAAAACAACCTATTATAGATTTAAAGATCATCAATTAAAGATATAAAAGGAAAATATTTTCCGAATTAATATGCTTGTTAAAAAAAAATTGAAATAAGATTAATCTTACGGTATCAATTGATAAATATTGAAGACGAGGCATTTTATTAAGAAGATATTTGATTTTCGATTTATTCATCGATGAAGGCAATGTTAAATTCATTATTCTACTTAGATTAACAATAGCCAAAAGAGTTTCTATTGAAATATTTTCATATCCAATTTCTAATGTCGTAATATTGTTAAGACGATGACAAGTTTCAATTAATTTAACGTACAATGTTAATTTAATAATATTATCATAGAAGATTGAATTTTTTAAAAGCGTTGAATATTTTGGTGATTGAAAATGTTCATTGATATGTGTGTACATAGAACAAGGTACTGTATAAAGATAATTATTTTCATAAGCAACAAACCAACATTTTTCTTCTAACCAAAATGATGTTCGAAATGTATCAAGAGTTTCCTCGATTGAATGAAGAAGTGTAATTTTGAAGATAAATTTCAATGTAATCAAGTCTTTCGACAAGATTTCTAATTGATGTCCAGTAACAAAATTATCATGAATTCTTGTGGACAGTTCGAGATGTTTCAAACATGGAAAATTAAGAAGAAATTTTTCTATTTCATTCATTGATCTGACAGAATCTATAGATTGAGACAAAAAAAAAATGATCTTAGAAATATTCTTTGAACTTTTTAAATTCATTTTAAATTTCTTTCTATTCAAACGATACTCACTATTGATTTTTAGGATAAGTCGAATCATACAATTAAGTTGACATTGAAATTCTAAGTTTGATGTTTCATGTATGATAGCAACATTTAAAGTTTTAAGCCATGGTGTTGTTAAACAAATATTTTCTAATAGATTAAGTGAACATTGTGACAATTCCAAACGACGAAGATTAACAAATGACATAGAAAACAAAATATTGATTTCTGATTTGAATAGAAATGAACGTAAACGATTGAGTTTATATAAATGTTCATTGATAATTTCTAATGATTTCTTTTCTATTTCAATCAATGTTAAAGATTGAAGATTAATAAATTCGTCAATTTGAAAATGAGATAAAAAGAGTTGAGATTGACCGGGTGTATGTTGATCATCTGACAATATTAAAGCTTTAACTTGATTAGGTAAAATATGTTGACAAATAAGATCAAAATTAGATCGAAGAATCGATTTAAAATTCAGTCGATAGTTAGAATAAGATTTTATTGCATCATTCAGACTAGTACTAACATTCAATAATGAAAATAAAATCTCTTCAGTTAATAAATAGGTAAAGAGAGTATGTAAAACCAAGATAGGTAACTGATCGAGTGGAGAATGAACCATCACATAACATTAATCTTTAAAAAAAAACATATAGATTCTAGAATAGAAAAATTATTTCACTATATCACAAGATTAAACAGTCACATAGCAACCATCGACTATGACTTTACTAAAGTAAGACACTCGAAAATGTTACTGAGAACTTTCTGCACTAAGGTCTTGATCTGCATATGAACAGGTTATACATTTGTCTGTTCTATTTTGATCGTGTTTTCTTCATAGTAAACTTATCTATTGAGACGAGAAGGATGACTGACGTTATCATTGCAATAGCAACATAATTTGATACTACTAGACATGTATTTTTTATCGTTCATTTATTCTCTTGGAATCAAATATGCTACCTCTATGTGAATTAAATGATAAATAGATCTATTAGCCAGAAAGAATTGCCTCTAATGCTTTTGAACACCTAAACAGATATAAACAAAGTCATTCTAAATTGTTTTCCAGATATTAGAAAGCAGACTACAGTATCGTGTCCGTACAGAGGCTATTCTTACTTTTCCTTAAGTGATTAACCAAGTATTTCCAAAAACATCAATGATAGTCCAAAGCAAAACTAATACTGAAGTACTTTACTATCGTAGATATTGTTATAACGTCAGAATCGAAATTAATAAATCAATTGCCTTTTTCGAATACAAATAAAGGTAACGTAAAACCAATGAAAATGAACCAATGAAAAGAATATCAGATGGTGCTCTAAGTCAGAATAAATAAAGAAACAACAATTCTACTTATAAGACAGATTAGTACTTACTTTTCAAAATATACAATACTAGTCCATTGTATGCTATTTTGGTTACTACTATACGCATCGAAGTTTTATCTCCTATGCATAAAATTAAAACTGTGAATTTCGCATCTTAGACGTTTTTACGGTTTAGAGTAATTCAACTGTAAAAACTATTTTCGTGCATTCAATTTCACAGAAAAAAATATACACTTATAGATTTCTTGGAAGAAAAAGTATTTAAAACTATGCAGAAACGAGTACCTTCATATAATTAGTGTATCAAGTGAAAATAATAAAAAGGAGTCTCGGCGGAGAAACCTTATCAAGATCGTATAAGATCCTACAAGATCTTACCGACAATCAGATATTATCAGATTCTTACTATACAATCTTATGAAATCGTACAAGTATATTATCCTAAGATTCAATTCATTTCTTACTATAAGATGCTCTTGTAAATCTTATACGATTCTTACAATAAGATTCTTGCAAAATCTGACGATCTAAATCTTATCAGATCTTGTAAGATCGTGTACGATCATAATGCTAGGTTTTTCCAATGCTAATAATTCTTATAACGATAGTTTTATGCATGTGAATAAATATTCAAGTGATTGAAAAAGTTCTAATTTGAATACTAAGTCGTTTCGAATTGAAAATAGATTTTTATATAGCAGTTTTAATTTACAACTCTCTAGTGTAAAGGACTCGTGATAGAATCATGGCCACAATGATTATATAAAAGATGAATTGGGTGTGGGTGAGTGTGTGTGTGAAAAGCAAGATCCACACCCACCCACATATATAAATTATTTCTTCTATTAAACACATAATCGAACGTCGTTTGTCTTGATTTGAATTAGTGGCGATGCCAGACTACTAGCGCCCCTCTTGTTTGGGGGGGGGGGCAGTGGAAGGTGGCGCCATCTCTACATATGTCGTGTTCTCCAGGATACAGATCAATAGTAGAGCTGCTAATGGCGGAACTAGAACACAAGCTTCTCTCCTCTTCTATTAAGGGCGGAAGAATGTCCTTCTACTATATTGACACCGTGTATTCTTGATTACAAGGCACGCGTATTGGGGGTGCCACCTTCTACTGCCCCCCCCCCCCCAAAAAACAAGAGGGGCGCTAGTAGTCTGGCGCCGCCACTAATTTGAATCATACATATTCAACATTTGACCAAGCCATTGTGTTAAATTGTTTAGACAATTATATATTTTTGTTTGTCTAGAGCAGAAATTTGTAATGTAATTGACATTCAGACAGGAAAAGAAAAAATGCTAGTTTCTAATAAATTTAAGTCTCTTGCAGCATTTCACCTCAATAGATGAAATTAGTTTTGAAGAATCTTAGCAATAGAACGGAAGAATAACTTCGTTTAGGCTATTAGAAGTAAGATCTCTAATTTGCATTGGATTTTTTTCTTTAAAGTAAAAACTTAATGTAACACGATGTTTTGCAAGTGAAAAATGAATGTTTGATATAAGATCTTCTTTGATAGTCAGAAAGAACTGTACTTACACCTGTATAAAACCAGCATGTAATAATTGAGATGAACAATTAACTAAATCATATCTTACACGAAGCATGTCCATAATAAATTCAAGAAAATGACGGAGAAGTGTAAGACGAATTCGATAATATTCTTCATGGTTTTCACCACTATATATATCAGTATTTTGAAAATTCTTATATTCATCAAGTAAATTATTACAAGTATTTAACACTTCTATACAAATATGTCACGATTCATCGTCCAATGATAAATTTTGACGAGAAGGATCTAATCAGAAAACTTCAAAATAAAAGAATTTCTTTTTCTTTTTTAGATTACTATATGGTGAACATGGTATAAATTTATGAAAAATATTGTATTGATGTATAACTTTTTCTAAATGACTGATCTGGAGATAAAATAGAAAAATAAATAACAGCATAAATATTTTTAAATTCTACACACTAGCGGATGACCCCATATAGAAATATAAGACATTTTATTGCTAAACGATTCAACTGCTGTATCGATGTTTACAAAATTCATGAAATATGTATGAACGAACATTTCTGTTTATTGAACAAAGTCATTACATAAAAGATGACCTGCTCATATTGTTGATTATACCGTCCAATGAACATCGGTCAGTATCCATCGTGTTTTGAGAAAGGAAAGAAACCAGCTATGGCTGACTAATGGGAATGATAGTATTGTTAAAATGGTATTATTATGCATAGTCAACGGTTCACAGAAGTGAACCAAAGTCAATAGGCTCACTTCTTATAGAAGCTATAAGCCAATCAGATAAAAAGTCAATATTTTACAGCTATCCAAAATGTTCTTTTCTTTTTTCAACACGATAGTACTATACGTAATGTATAACGCAAACAGCATTTATCGGCTTCTCAGTTTTCTGTTTTTGCAGACGAAAAATTTGAACTAACTCTTATTTACTTATTAGAATAGTACTATCGAAGGCTGGTGATCAAAGAGACTAGTAGGGTGGGTGTGGGTGTGGATGTAACAGGAGAAATAAACTACGATCGCACCCACATCCGCACTCACATCCACACCCACCCACATCCACGCCCACCCACATCCACGCCACATCCCACACTCTCACCCATCCACACCCTTAAAAGGTAAGAATAGATTATAATAGATTACAACAGATTAAAGAGTAAGAGTAAATTTTTTTTGAGTATGCCTTATTTATTATTACGTCCTAGGACGCTTACAATGGAAGAAAGAAAAATGAAAAATGAAAATGAAAAAGTGACAAAAGAACAAGAAAAAAAAGGAAGAAAAAGAAGCAAGAAGGAAACGGGAGGGTACTAAAAAGAAGCAAGAAACAAGAAATCCAATGAGTAGAATATAAGTGCAAGGATTGGCTTATCAGAAGGGTAATGAGAAAACTCGTACTATCTACTTTCTTTGTCTTAGATTACTCTCTATAAAATTTATCCACCGGATAAAATATGACTCATGATTTGCAATCAGGTTTTTTACTAGTAAGAGTAAATTACAATAGATTAAATGGTAAGAATAGATTGTAATAGACTAAAAGGTAATAATAGATTGTAACAGATTAAAAGCCAAGAGTAGATTATAATAGATTAAGAGGTAAGGATAACTACCCATGTAAAAACTGATGGGAGAAAACCTAAGTATAATTGAGAGTTTTTGCGATTAATAATCTGTTATAATGGCACTATTATAATCTTACTTTAATCATTTTTTAAACCAAAATAATCTATTATAATGGCAATATTATAACCCTACTGTAATCATTTTTCGAACTAAAATAATCAATTATAATGGATTACCTTGAGCAATCTATTATAATTGATATTTTGGTTTAAAAAATGATTAAATTAGCATTATAATAGTGTCATTATAATATATTAATAATCGCAAAAGAATCATTTATAATCGGATTTTCTCCTGTTATTTTTTACATGGGCAACCAACGTAATAAAATGTATATATTATTATAAAAAAAAGTCATGCTTCTTCAAATTCAGCCGGTTCTATACTCAGAGAAGATTTTTGTCGAATATCGTCATTGATTATTCTTGCATTTTCTTCAAATATCTCCCCAATTATTATAAGTAAATCAGCAGCATCCGCATCTCCTGATTCGGCACGTTCTTCCAAATGTTCTATACAAATTCCAAGATGTCTCTGCGCTATCCGTCTAAGTTTCTGTTCAAGCAAGTTCATATTGAAAACTGAATCATATCTATACAGTGTTGGGTTTTGCCTATAGTGTAGCACATTTTGCTCAGTTTGACAAAACACATGAAAAGATTTTCGTGGGCATGCAAGATTTCGATAATTGTTAATCAGATTAATCGAAGAATCCGACAAAAGTATATCCATTTCTAAAACATTTTGGTATCTTTGAAGTATAGTGGTACATTGATCAGCTGTAACACAGTGGCTGAAAAACTTTGAATGAAGAAAATTTCTTTGATTGAAATGGTCCAATATATCATCCACACCATATAAAACTAATAATGAGTTATAATTCATATTAGACGTAGTTGTAGTTTATCTAAAATTGTATTTTGTTATTAGAAGGAATATCGATATGAACAGGTTGTAGTTGTCAAAGAAAACAAGAGACAATCATCACACGAATGATGAGCAAATTGAATTAGATTGTCACTTCTCTATCAATTGTTCTTTTTTTTGTCAGAATACAATCAAAAGAATATTACCGATATGAATTCTTGGATGTGTTCAATATCCTTTCACGTAAACAAGTCAGAATATTTGACTAAATTTTAGAATTCTGTTTCTCGATATCACGCCTTTTGTCTTTTAAAGTTAACAAGTAACACTCGTTTGCTGGCTTGCTTAGCTCTTTTTTGTAGAAATGTTATTTCTGGTCTACTAGCATACTAATTTCAAAAGGTGAAACAGATGATAATTTTTTCAAGAAAAAGCTAATTAATATTTATTAAATCACTTGGAATTCAGACTCTTTACTCATGGTTACCCTTTGGTCTAGTTTATCAAAAAAACGGCAATAACTAAAATCTGACCTCGGATTCAGATTTCTTAACCATGGTACCTTTCGGTTAATTTTTGTTGCTTATTCGTCTTATTTTCTCTTAGGTTGCCCTCCGACCAATCTCTGCAAAGTAGACACACAAACAAGCAAACTTAGTAGATTATCAAAGGTCATTTTTAAGAGAACATCCAAGAGAGGACCGAGGTACTGATCAAAATTTACATTTTTCTTTTTTTGTGTGCGTTTCAAAGGTCACCAAACTCAAATTATTAGTTCACTTGGATGTACTATTAGCCAATACCGACTTGTGAGCATTACCATAAAATGTTTATTAACATTATATTTCAACAAAACAGAGAATGTAATATACAAAAAGATAGATTATCAAATCGCTATTCAAATTACTACGTATAATCTGCTGAGTCGATTTTTGTAGTCCATCATGTGTGAGAGGAGTCATCATTTATGAGTTCATAATGGTCGATTTTTGACAGTATAAATGCAGTCAGCTTTTGAAATACAATAATAACATGCTAGATTTTTTTATATTTTACGTAACCTTTAATTCTATGTAAAATGGTTAAAAAAAAGTTCACCTTCGAGGCGAAATAGGGCTCACAAATCTCGTTTTCATAGCGACTTTTCGAAAGAAACAATAGTTTTGTATCAATTTTCATTGACAAGACACGATTGTAGATCAAAATGATTGTCATACTCGAGATTAGCATCAGAAACTATATTAAATCCAATAAGTTATAGGAAAATCTATTTCCTGCGGAAAATCACCTGTAGTCTCCCATAGCTGTATTCTATTGAAGTCTCCATGTGTGGTTTTCCAGGGGTTCATCTTTCATAGGAAAATTTTTTCCTATAACTTATTCGATTCAATGTAGTTTTTGATGCTGATTCCGCATATGACAATCATTTTAATCTACGGCCGTGTCTTGTCAATGAAAATTGATATAAAAGTATTGTTTCTTTCGAAAAGTCGCTACGAACACGAGATTTGTGAGCCCTGTTTCACCTCGAAGGTGAACTTTGTTTTTACCATTTTATACAGAATCAAAAGTTACATAATATATAAAAAGTTCAGCATGTTATTATTTTATTTCAAACACTGCCGTCATATATGAGCAAAATCAGAGAAAATGGGACACACTTCCTCTGTGTCATTTGACTGTAATTCTCTATAAGGGTTATTTTTCTGAGTAAATTCTTTTAGCATAGACCTATGTAGAAACGTTAGCTCTTTCACCTGACTATTTATTAAAAGTAATTAATTAAAGAATAACTAATCAATTTATTAAAAGGTAATTAGCGAATATATCTCTAATCACAAGAGCAAAAAATCTCAAAACTTCAGAATAGACTCTACGTCACAAGTTGCATCTATGGTGAAATTTTCAACAAGATCGGATTTCAAACATTTTTCTCGAAAAATCCGATTTTCTAGTGCTGAACCAGAAGTTTTCTTCTTTTCGCCATCTGGGCGCTCTGAGAAGTATTTGTATCGTTTGGAATTTTTCATTAATATTACAAGAACATTTTTTCTAGTATGTATTCGTATTCCATCACGTCGCTAATGAAGAGTAAATCTAGGCAAGCTGAGAAAAATGTTTGCATAGAGATTTTGTTGTCTAAAGAATGTATTATTTAGTTTTCTAAAAGTTGGAGTTTTTTAAAAGTAAAGTGCATGAGGCGATAATCGATGTCATTCTTTGTGTCATGTCGCTAAAGTTTATTTAACTCTTCTGAACAAAGATCCGTAACATTGATTTTGTTTTGGGTATCCAGATCCACTTAACATACATCGAATATATAAAAATTAGTTCTAGAAAAGCTCATTATCTCGGGATACACATATTTTACTTTTTCAAAGTCACGTCGCTAACGAATGACTTTGCCTAAATATTGTCAAAAATCGACCATTATGAATTCATAAATTATGACCCCTGTCACTCATGATGGACTATAACAATCCAGTAAATCTAATAGAATTGAAGTAGCTAATTTTTTTAAGGATTGATTCTCTATCTTCTAGAATATTGCACGAGGAAATTCTTTGTTTGGTTGAAGTTTAATCCTAATAAATATTTGTAGTGCAATTTTCGATATTTTTTTTTGATAATGCTCTAAAAGGGTATTGGCTAACCTTACTCAAATACATCGAAATGAGCTAAAAATTTAGATTTCGTAATCTTTCAAGTGCACATAAAAAATCAAAAATGTAAATTTTGATCAGTGTATCGGTTCTCTCATGGATGCCCTCTTAATATAAAAGAAAGTTATTCCTACAAGAGAAAAATCATTCTCAAATGTACTTGTCAACACTACATGTTATTTTCAATCAAGAAAACAGTAATAAAAATGTATAGAATTTTATTTTTCAAAGAATAATACTTTTCAGAAAAAGAACTTACCAGAATTGTGGATCCTGATCTCATTGTAAAGTCACATAGATTGTTATATAGAGTAGTGCATAGCGTATGCTTATCCGAATTTTGCCAATATACCTCCGAGACTTTCTCCAATTGGCGAGAGCCCACTGTACTTTCGCCAATGCACATCCAAGACTTTCGCCGTTGTTGATTGTCCAGTTGGCGAAAGACTTATTGACGAAACTCGAGATCCCTAAAGCGTGTCGGATAATATATAGGAAATGGTGGGTTCCCTAATGAACACTGTCGTATTCATGAATATAACAATGCAAGTATATCTGCATGTTAAGTCACACAAAATTATTTCTATTGAACTTGAAATACTATTCGATCTGTTATACTTGATAAATCTCATTGCATAGGAATTTGATCATCGTTGTAGCATTCCAGTACGAACAATGATATGGTTCACAAAGCACAATGTTACCAATACACAACTTTTTCCGAAACTTTGACTGATGTCGCTCCACATGTTAGCTTTTGAACTACACAGAAACTATCTTTCTGTTTTATGTGAGTGGCATTCATCTTTTTAGAAAGAAAATTATCTTCTCAACTAATAATTGAATGACATAAACAATTCTCTGAAAAATATTTGGAATCTAAGTGCCCGAAAAGAGGTGTAGCCACATCGAACATATTCGTTTCCCGTAAAAACACTGATTGTTACCAAAATCTTGTAAATTTCAATAGTATAATCCTCTATGCGCATTAAGAAATCAGAACTCACTGGAATAGGAGATAGCACAATGTCCATCTTATTTCTATACTTCTTACAATCAATCTGAAGATCCAAATGTTTTTTTATCATGATCTTCGTCCAATTCAGAGGTCAGCATATTGTGAAAAGACATTGAGCGGTATGAGGCATAGGTTCTAGAAAAGTTATGCGTTGGCAACATAGTATTTCGAGTCACAGTCTTGCTTGCACTGAAGCACGCCACAGTCGAATGATGAAATACACTCACCTAATAGTAGCTGAAGCTCAACAGAAAAAAGTTTCAATAAAATTTTGTATAAGTCACTACACAAATTTGCTTGCATTGTAATATCGATCTGGTAAACAATGTTCATCAAACAGTAAATGAATCATCACATTGTTTAGACTTTAACAAAATGCTATTTCTTTAATGATATTTGATGCATCACGAAGACTACTCTACATATACATGTATGTGAATTTTCATTTCGATGTGAGTATCCGATTCGGGTAAGTTCATTTCATCTCGTACATCTGATATACAACAGTTCATATACTTGTATTATTTTCTTCTCATAAAAACAGATAGATATTCATTAAGTTTTATAGACTTTTTGTAGTACAAATGTGCTTGTTTTGAATTGCCATTTTGTTGATTATTGTCTGCGATTTGTTCGCATTCTGTTGAATGTTCAACTATCCATTTGAGTACAAGCCCTTTTATATTAATAGAAATATTTCGAATTTTTGGAAATTGGTTCAATAGAATTCGAGAATTATTTTGTTGAATTAATTTATTTTCATTTAAATTTAATATATAAATATGTTCGATTGATGGTATTGATGATAATTTTTCGAAAATATTTGTTTGATTGTCAATATTTGGAAGAATTATTATTGGACAATTATGTTCATTTTTATACTTTTCTAATTGTAAATTTGAAAAAAAATCTGTTAAATTATTGAATAATAGTGGATTTTTATTGATTATTTCGTTGAATATTTCCGATAATTTTAATGCTTGATCATTAAATTCCATTGGCGAATAAATAAAAATATTTTCGATTAATTTGTTTATTGAATCAAGTAAGACATGATTTTCATTGTCTAGAGAAGAAATCGTTTTTTCACTTCTACGAATGATTGTTCGTAAATAGTTTTGACATTGAATGTCTTTATTAGATGAAATAAAATTTGCACGAAGAATAAGTGTATAAGCCCAATCAAAATATATAAGTGCTTGATGAATATTTTGGGTATATAATTTTCTTCCAACCGTCGTAAAATGCACAGCTATATCGTGTGTTAATGCACCCAACAGATCAGCTTCATGGTAAAAAAGTCGAACATACTCTGTATAATCAAGGTACCAATCTTCGAGTCCGGTCGCACATATATATATGTAAAATACTATTGATCTTTCATTTAGAGCTTTTTGAAATTCTTTTGAATATTGCTCATAAATTTGCAAAAAGAAATTTTCTTTATAGTCCGGTAGGATTAAAAATATCCGTTCATTTTTGTTGATGCATTCATGCATAGATTGTAAACATTGTTCTTCTTTAGTAAAGAATTGTATTTCACAAGGACCTTGAGATCGATATTGGCGTATCGACTTTGCTTGATTCAAACATGTGTTATAATCTCGACCATCTAGACTTATTGGTCGCGGATTCATTGGATCAATAGTTGTGAAAAATGCTTCTTTCAGTTGAATGTAATTGTAAGCATCAGCAATATAATCATCCAACCAAATGACGACGATTTTATTAGGAGATAACATAACAGTGAATTTCTCGTGTCAGTTGTTTAAATGATCTGAAAACAAATCAAATTTAATATTAAAAAACCATGTTTATGCTGAAATATATTTCTCCATTTCAGATATAAGACAAGTAAGAAGAATTTTATAAATGATTTCTACACTTAAAGCAAACTATATAGGTATAACGGCTAATAACTAGAGTCCTACGAGTAGAGCCCATCGGGTCCAAGAATTTTCGAGCACGGACCTAGTCGATCAAAATTATGAGACCTGTTAGCTCTCATATGTATAGAACGAAAGAGACAAGCAGTGTCACTGATGTTATGTGACAGAACGATGAAAAAGATGACCTTCATGGGAATCGAACCCATACCTTCTGCTATCCGGGCAGATGTCCTAAGCCAATTAGACTAGAAGGCGCATCTTAATCATCGTTTAGCGTCCAAGTGATTCATCATGGACGCTAACA